ACGTAAAAACCCTGCTCGTGCATTGTAATTTTGTACACCTTGGGAACCACCGTAAATTCGCCTATAGAGGTAATTCGATGCCCTGATTACGAAAATGACTTTCATTTCTAGCGGCGCCATCTCGCGTCACCTCGTCACGACACCTGTTTTCACCAGGTGGATGAAAACTGGCGCCAGATGGCGCCACCGCTGAAAATGAAAGTCATTTTCGTAATCAGGGCATCGAATTACCTCTATAGGCAAATTTACGGTGGTTTCTAAGGTGTACAAAATTACACTGCACGAGCGGTGTTTTTACGTGATATCGGCGCGGGCTTATCTACCGGAAATTAGGGTAATTTTATCGTCAGCGCTGGTCAATATTTGTATTTGTTGCGCAAAAGTAGTGTAAAACGTGGAACCGAAATTTTCTGTTCAAGGAAAAGCGCCAAACATGAAGTGTTGCGACCTCTAAACGAGCTCATTAATCACGATCATTAACAGCAACCTATCATACGCTGCTTATTCCAAATATAATATACGAAAGGTCTGATGCAGCGAATCTACCAAAGAGTTGATTTTTGAAAAAAAAACACAAAAGGAAAAGCGAGCGTATGGTTAGAGCAGCTTTTGCTATTGAATGACCAAAGCTAAACGGATGCTGTCTTGCGTGTTTCCATTTGATTACATTGCAATATCAAAGTTGCCAAAACAGTTCATTTTCAGGTCTAATTTCGAGTTTTTGATAGATTTTCGTCTCTGGAAACGAGCACAACAACACAGTGTACGGTTTTGGCAAATAAGGCTGAAGCAGAGCTCATAGTATCAGGTACTCGACAGGAAGCTCAACCCGCGGCAAGAAAGCCGAGTCAGCGGAGAGTCACTGCGCATAGTGTACATAGTGATTTCTTGTCAAGTGAGAATGTGCCATTGTACGTCCCACCGTAACACAGTGCGAATCGTCCGCCGACTCTGCCTTCTTGCCGCGCGACGGGCCTCTTGTCGGGCACCTCATAGTATCGGCCAGCCATTGGGCTGTTGGGAATTGGAATTGGAAGGGCTGCTGTTCCAAAGGCCTGCTAGAAGCAACTTATGAACCGTAAAATAGCTTGACATTGACAGGTGAATCTGAGCTGCCAGCAACGGACGAGGTTAACACTGCGATGCGACGAGGCATACGACACGTGCGATGCTACATGGTTACGGTCACGTGTCGTGGTGGGTGGGCTGGGCTGCCGCGTACATTTTCCGATAGACTGACTTCAGCTGTTGCTCAACACATGCCGGTAACAATCGCGCAAAACCGAAATCGACCAGACGAAGACGAGCACTCGAGTCTTCACTTTCGAACAGGATGTTCTGAAAAACAATTGGTCAAAACATTACTGAAACCCCTTAGGTTCGTATGCTCGGACAGCAATCAACATATCACGCACTATTTTCTTCATGCAAAACATGGCTAAACCTAAAAAAGGCACATTCCCAAAGGAAATCTGCATAGCGAGCCACATCATTTGAACAGTATCACTTGTTTAGAATGATGGTGGAAGGTATATATTGCATACTTTCTTTCTTCTTTCTTTCAATGTTGCGGATTCAAAGATTGAAGCAGTGCGTCATAAATATGTAGACGAGAACGATACAGACGCCAGCAGCTTGGCTCAACTTATTGGCGGAGTTTACGATTAGAAAGCAGCCCATTAGAATCAAAGTAGAAGTGAAGAAGAAAAAACATGAGAAACGCCCAGAACCCGAGAAATGGACCCTTCCTTGCCCGTTGATTTCCGCATTGATGCGACTCTCATCGGTGCTGCCCTCTTCAACGCTAACGCTCTCTCTGCTAACGGCTAGAGACCTGCGGCGAGTGGTTAGCCAGTCGGTGGGCGTGCCGCGCCGATAGCGCCGCGGGCCATGCTAGATCGCCGAGGCATATCCTTCGCTGCGAATTGCGTGTCGGTCCGCACCCTTAGGGATCCACCTGTCTTCCACTAGTAAGCTTTCCCTTCTTCGACCTTCGACCTTACCGTGGGTCCTCCTTCGAGGGCACTACACCGACTGGAAAGGCACGCTTACTCAGAGCTCAATGAACACTGAGAAACCGAAAGATGCATTTGATAACTAACCTCCGGCTTCAAATCCCTATGAACAATTCGTTTCGCATGTAAGAAACCCACTGCAGAGACCAACTGCCGCATTATATCTGCAGCTTCTGCCTAAAGAAAGTACACTTCACTACACTGAAAGTTCGTGTAACGAAGATCATGAAATCACCTCTGTGAATTTCTCAAGTTTTCTCAATCGTTTCAACAATTCCTGTCCCGTAAGCAACTCCATAACAATGTAATAATGCAGCGGATCCGAATGAACGTCTATGAGACGCACGATATTGATATGCCCTGCAAATCAAATAAATCTCATGAAAATCATCCCAAAGATCTCCCACAAAAAAGTTACCGAAGACTCAACACAGCCAGCACAGCTTAGCTACAGCCGTTTTACGCGTGTACCAGCACCGGCGCTATCGCAATATACGGGGGCAATGTGATGGCAATGCATTGAAACTGCGTAAAACATGTCTTTTTTGTTAAAACGGGACTAAGCCTTAGGCGGGGAGGAGAGACTCCAAGGTGCGTGAGCCATTTTCATTTTCCCGAGCTCCTGCCCCTCCTAGGCTTAGTCCAGAGGATGCCCCCGTATATTGCGATAGCGCCCCAGCGCCTTTTTCATATTACTCAATGAATACTCATTTCAATTCCCCCAATAAATTCATTATCAGAAATATGATCATGTTCTACAGAGACAGTTTAAAGACGTGAAAAATGCCAGTCGTACTTAGCACAACGCGTGATAGCGTGGCACATTATGGTACATTAACAAGTATGCGGATTGATTTGAACTTTCAACATCTTTCTCACACAATGGCGCATAAGCACAAAAACGAGGAACAATGGTTAAGGGTTACCCTTACCTTTAACAATATCAAGAATCCTGGCCTCTCTTTGTGCTTGTGTAGCGAATCTTTGCGAAACAATTTTGACAGCAAAAAGGGCACCATCTTCTATCCGTTCACATCGCCTGCAGAAGTGATAAATTGCAAAAACGATTCTACCTCATACTACCGGTCGAATATTCAACAGCTGCTTACCTGACCACAGAAAATGGATCCTCTACCCAAAAATCCTTTTTCTGTTGTGTCCAACTTGTATTTCCCGAAAAACGATGAGTTAGCAAGCAGTGCCTATACCAGTGAATAAATGTGAAGACTAAGAGTTTTAAAAGCAACAAGACGCTCACTTGAATATCTTCTTGCATCAATTCCTCTCCAATAATGTTATTGTTAGCAAATATTACAGATGGTGAGATGTAAGAGTATCCCTGAAATTAGCAACAGTAAAGGGACACTACGCGATCGAAGATATATCTAGTAAAACTTCATGACCAACTATAACAATGAGAGATTTTATTTCACGAAGCCATATGCTTAATCACCTCATAACGAAACTAGGAGAATTTTGCCGACTTAGCCCCATTTTACCAAATTTCTTTCAGGAATCATCAAAAATTTACTCTCATTAAACCATAGCCATGAAAGAAACGATATCTGTCAACGGTAATCATTTTTCAAAGAATCAAGGAGCATACAAAGCATATCGAAAGGCATACACGATCTGGAGGGTTGTCTTGTCCGTGGTGAACGGCTGAATATTATAACTTGGGGTTAGCATTGGGAAACCATTATTTTTCAGGGAAAGTTCACTCAAATTCCGAGCATTTATAGAAAGATTTAATTGATTTAAAATATATAAAATTTAACGACGGAAACCCTGAAGAAGTGACGTAACTAGGTTGTCCAATGCAACGAATCATAAAAATAGCACCATAATCCGAAATTAACAAATTCAACATGAAGTAAGAAAGGAAAATATTCTAAGAATGTGTTTTGTAAAAATGTTGGTTGTTCAGAGTAACAACAACATAAACCAACCCTGAAAAGCGTATTCCCGTTGACTGGAGATTCGGCTGGTGAGTACAGAGGCGGCTGATTAGTGAATTCAGTAGCAAAGTTTTGCACATCAAGCTGTAAAACTATCACTAGATCCGTCTGACGCAATTAAATCCTACATAATCAAAAAAGAAGTTTGAAGCTTTTATCTACGTCACGGTGGCCGGAAAATGGTGGTGTATGGTCGACCGCACACCAAGATCCGGTCGCCTTAAAATGGAGGTCTTTGAGGGCGTGAAGAGCTTTTTCAAAACTGTTTTTCGTATGCTGATGGGGCTCTCATGTGTACTAAAAAAATGGGATTCATCTTCGCTTCGTGGTCCCCTGATGCCAAAAAAGACTCGAAAATAGCTAGGAGGGAGTAATTTTACAGCGTTGCAGTGATGTATGGGGCTTCTAGCGAGAAGTACCCGTTCCTGGTAATGAATATCATACCTGCTATTGGAGAAGCACAATTTGGAGGAAATATATGAAGCTCTGACCTGAGATGCAAAAACTTTCTCACCACGAGAATCAAACCTTGGGCTATTTCTGCTCGTATAACTTCACGGGTGGCGGGAACGGGGGGACGAACAACGAAAATGGACCTCGGTTTTTAGTGCACTCATGAGTTTCGTTGAGCTGCAGGAAACCTTTTAAGAGAGCGCTAAACCCTGAAGACCTCCCTTGAGACACTGCGAATGCAATGAACTGTATTTAAGAAGTTGTTTTTATTCATACCTCATGAGTAAGGTTAGGCACGATAAAAGGGGTGAGTTGGCGTTTTGGCGACTTTGTGTCCCAATCGAGATCCCGAAGAAATCGATGACTAAAAACAGCATTAAAATATTGATACAAACTTAGAAAGTACAAAAAATGAAGTACTTCTTGATCTCTTCCACACCATTGTATCCCAGGCGCTTCTCCAGCCTCTTCTCAAGTTAAAAGCCGCAACTGAATCCCGTGCCATCGCGATCCGATGTTCTGTGCGGAACGCGAAACTTTTTTCGTTTCATTTTATTCTTCCTGCATGAACGTCATAAAAAAACAAGATTAGCTCAAAGGGTTGCCTGTGCAAGGATCGTGCGATTTGTTACTTTGCCCAATTTTCCTTGCTCTGCGAGTTCTCGCTCAGCACCTGTCAACTCTGTGAACGACTGCACCGCGTCAGACTCCCCAAGTTTTCGAAACAAGTACTCCCATTGACACCTCAGTCCTCACCGCACATCCCGACAATATCTCGCTTCTCTCGCGTCGATTAATCCACTTCTCTGGGCGACCTCGGTAATATTAAAATTAGCTGAAAGCTTGTTGTATTTATACTTGTAGTTCTTCCTCAGATTCACTAATGAAGCGTTGGCAAGATTTGGTCCTGAGATTCGATCCCCCCAACCATGGGCCGTATTCAATCCTTCCCCACGAGGATGCGTCCCCCTCCTCTATAAAATCCCCTCCCAGCTTTGAGGGGAGAGAAATAAGGGGATTGCGTCACAGGACGCCATATCTCTGTGTTTGTATCTGCCAAACAATTGGAGTAGCGCGGCCCCTCAGGAAGAGTAGTTCAACAGTAGAGGGTAGCCACGCTGCTCTAAGGTGAGGGAGCGCAGATATGTAGAGACCAGTGGATTTGACGGCGGCTCTAAGGACCGGGTTCAAGTATGTCCGTCGACCGCTCTGCCGTTAGAATAGCAACATAGAGGTATGGCGGTCATCTATGACGCAACCCTTACTTAGTCTACCCGAAGTTGTGTGAGGACCTGGATTAGGCGGAGACGGTGGCCGCGATATGATGGCAGCCCATACTACGATACAATGCGCACTTGCCACTCATACACTGTATAAAAGTAAGTACAGAGAATGCAAACCGCCGAAAAACGAAGCGCATCGTGTATAACGTGTACTTATATATTAATACTTATACTAACTTGAACCCCTAAGCACCATGCTAACAACTACTTTCAAAACTGCATAGCTGTGTAATTTGCCCCCGTCCCCCCTACTCGACAATGGAAGCCAACAAACATTCAGAAGCTCGAATGCGTCGAAAATGGTTTGGAAAAAGTTTCGATTGTAACACTACAAGAAAAAAAATCGAATAGTTAACTAAAAAGGAAAAATCACAAGAATTTAACACCAAAAGTTAGAACAATGAACAAAGAGCTTACATGTATTCAATAGTTCCGCAGTATGAATTAGCCCGTTCTAGTTCCTCCGGTACTAGTAGCTTACTGAGCCCGAAATCAGTCAACTTCACGTGGCCATGTTCGTCCAGTAAAATATTTTCCAGCTTCAGGTCACGATATATGACTTTACGCTAAAATAGATCAGATTTGAGTGAGAGCTAAAGTTGAGGCAGTCAGTGTAAGACAGGTCGGTCGCCCATGACGGCGAATCCTTCACTAACTTTACTCAACTCTCTTATTTCCTACGTATAACGCTGACAGTGGCTTTAATACCGAAAGAAATTGTAAATAATGTGCAAATTAATAAATATACAATAAAGCGATACCTGATGAAGATTATCAATAGCAACAATCAGTTCTGCAATGATAAACTTGGCCGCTGTTACATCAAAACTGCCACGGCTACATAGATGTGTGAATAGCTCTCCGCCACGTACATATTCTAAACTGATGGTCTATAGAAGCGGAATAGAACTCGAAAGTTTCATTATCGTGCCGTAGTAATGAAAATGAAACACAACACTTCTGCACTCTGCTCCTGGATGTCCGTAACGCTTATGACATTCAAATTACCGAGTAGGGCCAAGTGCAGGGTAAAAAATCAAAAAGAAGACAGTATACAATAGCTTCAAAGAAAAGGTTACAAAAGTAAAGGATGTTAATACTGCCTTAGTATGAAGAAGTATCGAGCAAAAGTGAGCAACATATGTTTGTCAACCATTGAGCGAGGAAGGGTAAGTTATAGAAGCATTGGTAACTACAAAGCAGCACAATCAGACCAATAGATCACCACTCATGACAGAACTTTGCCCTGCTCTCCACACTCGCCGCTTGATGTTGCCAAGTTTGACAAAGATGGTATTATGAAAAGCGAAACTTAATGCTGTTATCATTATCCATTATCCTTCACCTTCCATTGTCGCCTCCTCAAAGCGATCGAACCATAGTTGAATCTTTCGAAGAACTTCTTATTAATAGAAACTGTTCGCAGATAGCTTCCATTCGAAGGGCTTTTTTCTTTCCAAAGCAGGACTTCATTAATTACTGATGTGGAATCGAGCGCTCAGTACCTTGTTGTGGAAAGACAGAAGAACATTTCAATACTCTTCCTCGAGGCTACCACTTACCAAACCGCTTAGGCTGGTGTCAGAGTCCGCGATCCGTCGCAGGTTTCGCTGATTTTCGCGATTTGCGCGATTTTACGCGATTTGCGCGATTTGCGCGATTTGCGCGATTTCTGCG